CTAAGGTCTTTCAAATATGCTGAATGACTAAAGGCCTCTGAACTGCGGGCCTAAGAAAAATCTCTTAAAGTGAACTGCATTAGGAGTCTAATATTCTGATTATTCTTGGAAGAATGTAGACATTTTACAGTGGAGGAGAATAGCTCTATGGTTAGGAACTCTCTCCTGACTAAACACCAGACATTAGAGAATAATGCCTGGAAGTTAAAAATCAATCAATCAATCAAACAACCAATCAATCACTGCAACAGAGCTTGTAGTAGAAATAAACCCTTCAAAAATGTGTGCAAAATAAAACCTTCACTTGAATTAAAGAATAGAGACCACCAGGAACACAGAACAAGAAAATAATAGTTATTGTCAAAGCATACCGTAAAGACTGTGGCCGAAATGGCATAGACCAGGAGAGCCTGACGGTTGTCTTTGGCTATTTGAGTCTCAACAGCACTGGCAGATATTCGCTGCTTAGCATAGAGCCACCACAGGACTCCTGTACCACCTAGGTTTTAAGAGAACAAAAATGGATAAATGCCAGATGCTCTTTCTATGTGACACAGTCATACTATCTAGTACCAAAGAAACTAAACAGTGTCCTCTTTTTAAGTCTAGTCTGTTACAGAATACCCAGGGGCACTAATGCTTAACCCAACAGGAACTTCTGGGGAGTAAGTAAGAAGTACTTTGTTCTTCTCTGCTGCACTCTTCTCAAGTGGATATACTCTTTTCACAGTCTCATCCTACTATGATCACTTAAGAGACCTGCAGCTCTCTAACTCTGTGTTTTAGGGTGAATTGCATGAAAGGACTAGTTCATTGGGAACCCTAAGACAGCTCCCATTAGACAAGAAATAGAGAACCAAAAAGAATAATAAAGAGTTACATGGTAGGATGGATGGATGTGTATTGTAAGGGAGGTAGTAAGAATTCAGGAGGGGGAACAGAGAAGGACTTTTGGATCAGGATGCAAAATAAAACAAGGAACAAAAGAGGGAGTCTACAACTCCTAGAAAGACTAATTGAGAAGGAACAGCCCTGATGCTGAAAACAGCACCTCAGATTGATCGCACACAGCTACAGCTAATCAGATGACAGCTCTTGGGCACTGGAAGAAGTACCAGTGAAAGGCACAGGAGGCCAATATAATGTGAGGTACTTCCTTCTAACCCCTGTAACAAAATCCTAGGCTCATGGCCAGAATATCATTCCCCTATCCTAGCCACCTTTTGAAGGTAGAACTTTTCTTAAACACGACTCCAGCCCCTCAGGGAGAAAACCTCTTCCCTTTGATACGTTTTCTCTCTTTTGAGTATCCTTCTCTGTTTGGTTGTTATTTCTGAATCAGCTGCATAAACTTATTTAGAGATCACAAGTCTTTGCTGAAAGTACTCTATTCAGGTCTAAAATGGAGGATGCTCTTTTGGCATCTCCTAAACAAATGCTGAATATAGAATAAGTATATCTCATCTATGTCATGTTTTTGTTCTGTCTGTGTAATGGATGCATTTTTTTTTAGAACATAATAACAGATGGCAATAAGATAAGTCATTCAAGTCTGTCCCTCATACTCGCTCAGCTTCAGAAGAGAATAAAAAAAAAATAAATCAATTTTTTTCCTTTTCTGTGGTCATAGATCCTGAGGCCAGCAAGCAGAAAAAACTGCTGATTTTTTCCATCCCTTGCAGTCATGAATTGCAAGAATTGCTAGTACTTCCTAATTTATTTATTCTATTTTTATTCATCTGCCCTTACATTTTGGCTTAGCTACTGACTATCAATAATAGAAAATGTTAGTTTTACAAATATGAAAGTTAATGTTACAAAATAAGCCTATTTTCATCCAAGCTATGTCACTTTGAATAAGACAATTTGAATAAGACAAAGAGTACTCTCTTGCAGAGGACTGCACTTAACAGAGGTGCCCTTTTTGACACATGCATTGCAAGGGAACTCAAAGGAAAGCTGAAGGGAAATGCATGGTCCAAGACCCGTGCAGGACGGAGCTGGCACGAGAACATGGAACACAAAGATTAGAACTAGGCTTTCAGAAACTGGGGGAACAAACAAGACTTACCGAGTGATCCCAGAATGACAAGAATTGTTAAAATCCAGACAAGTACTCTTGAAATGTACCTGATTATAACCATCAAAATCATGGACAACACTGCAAAAAAAAAAAAGAGAAATAAAATAAGCTGAGCAATTATTTCAAGTAGAAACAGCCTGCCTAATTCTCCCACTGCACTAAGATAACTGCCTTCCAACAGAATTTTCAGATAGGGATTTCTCTTCTGAGGCTTACAAGCTCACTGCACAGACAGTTAGAAGCATTAGGCACCTCTACCACTTCTGCTTTGATACTGTTGATTAAAAAAAAGAGAGCATAAATACATTTACATGGTACATTAAATACAAGACATAATGCATACGTACAGACAGCGATGTATTTAGACAAGGACAAAACAGACAGAAAGACATGATAGTACTCCAGAGTCTGGTAACATGAGCACAGCTCCAGAGGACCAGGGCAGAATTTGCACTCACTTGTCAAACAAGTGCAGATAATGTGACGCTTGTGTATTCCAAAACGTCATGCCAGTAAAAAGTGAAATTGTGACTATTCTAAACATTCAGAATTAATTCTTTAACAAGCTTTGCCCATATGGTTCCACTACCATTCAGCAACCACATGTTAAAAAGTCCTCTACAATCTCAGCCAACTAAGATTTAGTGAGTGGTTTAAGTGCACATACACATTTTTGCATATGCAGCAAAGTATTTGTGTAAAGCAGTCACATGAAAGCCACTGAAACCTGCGTTTCTGAATGACACAATCTTAGCCACTGTTCACAGACAAATATATTCTGTTTAACTATGAAGGTACGAAAAATATTTTTTAAATTAACTGTGTGTAGAACTCAACACTAACTTTTGAGTCTAACCATACAGTAGCATTGCTAACCAGCCACACTAGCTTTCAGATTTGGAAGAATATTTCTACTGTCATTATCAAATACTGCAGCTGTCAAGACAGAAGAATAAAAAGCTTTCCAGTTATAGCTGAAAAGATACTCAATGCTCTTTTCGTTTGGGGACATTTTCAAATGGTATCTAGCACCCTCTTTTTTTCCCTTTTTTTTTTTTTAACCAAACACAAAAGCAGACTGAAAACAACAAACTTCTTTATCTGGTAACAAATCTGCACTGTTTCTTTCTAAAACACACAATGCTTATATATATGGCTAATATCTGGAGCCTTCCATTTTAGAATTTTAAATTTTATACTTGGTAGAAGTAAAATAGACCCTTTTGGAAAGTAATTTATGCGGGTGTGTAGCATTCCATGCCAATTCACCAGGCTGTTAAAACCACACCAGTCTAGTGCAGTGTGCCACTCAACAGGCCAGAGGCACCTTGCACTGTAGAAATGAGTCAGCATCTTGATACTGCTGCAGATCTCCATCTCTTCAGACAAGGCTGAGATTTTCAAAGGCCTGAAGTTTTTACAAGTAACAAGTCTGTTAAATGAAACAAACTAAAACCTCAACGCTCTAGAATAGAGTGCTGTTGTGCATTTCTCACCCTGTCCTTTTTCTTTGGAAATGGTTTATTTAGACTTGAGTTGGCAGAAGATGAATATTAGAAATGGGAAAGGAGAATACTAGAGCAAAAATTAGGATAATGAGGATGTTCTGTTAACTAAACCAAAACTAATGGTGGCTAATCAACAGCTGCACATCCTCCACCTCATAATCAGTGGAATAGAGGAAAAAACAGGAATGTGATATGTATATTGCTTCTGAATAAGTTACTCAGATGTCAAGTAAAATTTTAAATAAGCATTCTGAACCATATTCTAACGGCTCATTGCTATCATACATGGGTTTTGCTTATACTATGGTTAGAGGGTGGTAACAATCTCCTAATGCAGTACTAAGAAACAGCTAGTAATGAGAAAAACAATTACCTAGTGATAACAAGCAAAGTCCCAATATAATCTCTTTGCTGGTCATAACTCCACTAATCAGCCTGTGTAAGACACTACTGTCACTGACAAAGGTGATCAGGGCCTCTGCAAACTTGGCATAGCAGGAAATGTTCACAGGAGCACAGCGATGGAAGAATGGAATAGGTGCACTGGTGACACAAGAAAAAAAAAATCAGAAAAAAAAATTACTCCTACTTAATATAAATGCCACATCAACACACAAATGAAAGGTGAATAGATGCAACCATTCCACCCTCATAACATCATAACCAGAAAACGTGTTGAATGCAGAAGTGCTGCTGGAATGAGGATGATCACAATGGGAAGTGATGCAGTTCTTACAAGTATCCCTGTGAAGCTAAAGTGCACAGTCCAAGAGCAAATTATTACCCTCCCACCCTTAAACAGCAAGTCTCAGAAATACATGTTCCTACTTCTGCTCAAACATTTCTCATTTAAGTGTCAGGTGGTGAACCAGCAGCTGAAACAACGCCTTTCACTCACGTTAGAGTGGAATACTGGCCCATATTTGCAGCAAAAGAAATCCCAGAATGACAATAGTCTTCTTGCAAGCATACATTTTTAAGCGAAAAGACATCAGCACTTATAACTGCTGCCAAGCAAAACCAATGTATTTAGTCTTCCCACGTTAAACTTGCTCTTGTATTGAAAATCACAATCACAGTGTTTCATTAACTTTGTTAAAATTATGTACATTCTTCGCAAAACATGCAAAGATGCCTCTACCATTTTATTATTCCTGAACTGTCTTGTAAGCATTCTCCCCAACAAGACTTATGCTCTATGCATTAATTTTTGCAGAATGCTCAGCAAAACCCATTATCAAGTACATCAGAGGAAGATACAAGAGAGCACAAATTTAACTTTAAAAGTTGGTAATTTTGTTTTCCAAATGTTTTCCATTAAATAGTTGCCTTTCTTGCTCATAAACTATGTCATATCTCAAAGTGGCATATTACATCTTTTGATCAGTCTTCCCAATTACACTTCAGACCCACGTTCCATGAACTGCATTTTCCTTCCTGTAATTTGAACCAATGAAAGGTCTTCCATATTAAGTCATTCTTTTCTTTCAACATCTGTATTTGTTTCACCCTGCCCAACCTTCCTTACTCAAAAGATTTCAGTGGACTGTACCGGCAATGTACATAATCTTTTGGAGTTTCCCCATTTCAGCAATGACCCATAAACCAGCAATTTTCTGTAAGCAATAACTATTTGTTAAGCCCATGCCTTTCCAAAATTCTGTCATTTCAAGCACAGAGTGAATAAATCAGCTGCCTTAGGCACAACATTTCTATGCATTTGAGGTTTTTTTTAAAAAAAAAAAAAAAGATGACATGCTGAAAACCATTAGTGTGTAATTATTCTATACAGAATTTGGGAGAAATTATGATCACCTGCCATACCTAGGTAATTAAAAAATTCCATTTTTTTGCTGGAAGTGACTGGCAACTCTAAATTACATGGTTTTAAACTTACTGTGCTGAGTAGGAGACATTCAGAGATGCTCGTATTAATGGTCTACTTTTGGGTAGTGATGAAGACAGCAGTTAAGCACAGGAAAGTAATTGCGATTTAGTCACAGTTGTTAAAAATCAAATTAAACCCATTATGATAGCTGTCCTATTTAAAAGGCAGCCCCTGTATCCTCTTAGCCTCTTACAACACAGCCTATATTGGAATATGCAGAATACTGTAGTTCATTATACGAAGTAATACTGGAAAGGACTGAAATTTAAGAGGTTTATTTAACTGTTAAACTCTCCAACTTTGCAGAAAACATAGAGCATTTAAAAATTGTCACTCTCAGTAACAAAGCTCAAATTTTGAGCTGGGAGTAGGCAAAGGCTTGTCATTTCAGCATCCAGATATGAAAATATCTGTTCTATAAGGGGGAACTAATACGATTAAAATACTGCCCTAAAATACATCCCAACAGAGAGAAACATGCTTTTTGTGTACCTGAGTTTACATTACCCATCTAACATTCCTTAGGCTATAGCAATTTCATGACACATTTAAAGTTACCTATTTTCATGTGCAATAATTAATTTCTAACTTTGTTGCAATTAATAAAAAAAACCAAGGTTAGTGGTTCCTAAAAGCTTTCTTGAGTAAATGGGACTTCTGAGAATCCATCTTCTGAAGTCTGCTGCTTTTTGAGATTCTGATTGAAGGAGCAGGTGAGGTAAGGTGTCTTGTTTAATAAAAAACCACAGTAATAGGTCTATTCTCTGTGACCTGTATATTACATACTGAAATGGAATTAAAAGTTTCTGAGAATAACAACATGATGCTTCATCATGAACAAAAGCGAGTAAAGTTCAAGCCAGCAGATGACAGTGTTAAAAATTCTATTTTTAAAGCAGTATTTGAATGAAGTTAAGATCCTCATCTACTGTTCAAGTACTAGATTTCAGAGGAGAGCTATTTCCTCTTACTACTACACCTGGGCATACACTGCAACCTGTGTGTTACAGGAACCAAGGCTGGTTGGAATGCCACTGAGAGCTGCTCTTTACAGTCTCTCCAGGGCAGCCCTTCGGCACAGCTCAGCGCATCTGGCTGGTAGATAAATGCTGCAAGGGAAAGCTGGATAGGTTTTCACCTCAGGCTCTCTAAACAGTGAAGTCATGCTCCACTGCAGCTGAGATACGCCAGGCACAGTTTCCAGAAGACACACTTATTGCTGGCTGCAGTGCTAGCCTGCACTCTCACGTCAAAGCTGGACATAATGCCTCGAGGCCTGAGGATCAGAGACCATTGGAAGGTGGAACCTCATCTGAAGGGTGTCAAGGAGTCTGGTCATCAAACAGGAAACATCAAGGGACAGTCCTCACAGCATACACTACCTCCACCCCATGGACCTAATGGGAATCAAATGATGGTTCATGACCCTGGCAGACCAAGTTTGAGAGGAGGAATGTTAGGGAAGTTTTCCCTGAATGCCTCAGCGTACAGGCCATTTTGGGTTTTCATTTGTTTGTCTCCACAGGATTCTATTTCCCGTCCAAATTACACTAATTTACTCATATAATGTAACTAAAAAAAACCATAAATTTGAAAACCAGAGTGGTTTACAGATACCTTAGGGCATTAAGTTCAGACTTACCACAGAAATATTCAAACATATTGTACATTTTATTCACACTAAATAAAAATGGGGAAATACTCCATCTACACAATAGCTTTTCAAAAATAACTCTTGAGGTAGTTTTTGTGAGAAATTTACACAGTGTCGTCAGAGCTCTGACACACTGTTCTATCCTTCTGGGTTCTTACTAAGCTATATTCATTCAGCCTGAATGACATGGGAACACACGGTGAGAAAAGCCAGTGTAATTCTGGCAAAAATTAAGACTGACAAGCCTTTTCAGTATGCAAGCTGGCACTGAAGTTTTCATTTGTTTTTGTATTACAGCTATAACAGCTGCTTAGCTGCATGGAATATTAATCTGCTGTGGGGAGAAGTAAAAAAATATAAAATATATATATTCCAGCTGCTACTTACTGTCGCTACAATAGAAAAAAAATTAGTTACTGGAAGGACTGCCATGCAGACAAGACAGACTTAGAATGAGAGTTTTTACAACTGAGACAATTATAACATTTAATAGAACCATAACAGAAAACTATACATAGGAAAAGACTCTGCAACTACTGAGTACATTTGAGAAGCTAAAGTTTGAGAGAGCACAATGTGATTTTCCTTGAGTGACTGGAATTCCTGACAGAAGAGTGTGCACAAGAGCAAACAGATAGCTTCTTTTCTGAGCAACACTCATCACTCACAGTTCTAGCCAGCACTGCCAGCAGAGTTTCTGGAGCTATAAACTCTTCCACCCTACTTCAGAAGAACAGTGTAATATAATTTTTTAAACAATAAAACTCAAATCGATTTGTTTATAAAATACAGCCCTCTTTTTAGTACTTGACCATCCTTGTATTAGTCATCTGGGGACTGAAGGAATAAAAAAAAATGAAACAATTTGCCAAATTGCTGAGGCAAGGTATATGAATTAAAAACTGCAGAGAGTTGTGTCTCAATATATCCTTTTCCTTTCAAAGATCCAAAGTGCTCCATAATTGTCTCTGATCTGCACTGCAGACAGGCAGCTGGATATAGGGTGAAAAGCAGTAGAACAGCTGATACTCAGCACAGTGTCAGTTAGACAAGACAGAACTTGAAGATAGGAGCTCAATAGTCCCACTATACCATGCATAGATAGTTTGGGTTTTTCTTTAAGAGTTGCTTTCACAGTCTTTTAAAAACATGTGGCAATAATACGCTAAAACATCCACACGTAATGGTGGACTAAATCTATGCTGCAGACTTTCTAAAGAACTGTCACAATTAAAACAAACTTCTGCTCCCTCCACCCCCAGTCATACAAGATGTTAATATTACCTCTCTGGAACAGGATAATTAGGACATAACTTGGCAGCTCTTGGGTCTGTAGTGTATTCTGATGGCTGTAGTTCATAGCTACACAGAGTGGATCCTGTTGAGAGGAAGAAAACCAAGATTGATGGGGAAAAAAATAACAGACTTCTTTGCAAACAGTATTATAACTGACACAGGTCCTGATTCTGGAGCTCCTTATGTTATTACCACAAAGTTATGCTACAGTTCCTCCTGTAATGGAATAGTGAATCAAGCCCAACAGAGGATTTAATGTTACAGAATGACATCTCCACTTAGCTTTGGGACTTCCAATATGGTTGTATCCGAGCGGAAAAGGGTAATTCACAATGCAGTGTAAAAGAGAAGGACGGAAAACACTTTGAAGTCACCCCTCCCTGCTACTCCACCATGTCTCTTCTCAATCCTTTTCACTGCATCTATATTGCACAAGACAACATCCATTATAGAAAGAAAACATTCACGTGAAGTTTCTGTGTTTTTGTTTGTTTGTTTGTTTTGTTTGTTTTTGTTTTTGTTTTTTTTTTTTCCTTGCGTTTTCAAAATACAGCTGGTCTATAGATCTAGGAGAGGACCAAAGGAACCAAACTGCTGAAGTTAGAAACTTGGCTGAAAAACCACACAAGCTCCGCACTCTATGTTCAAAACTTTTAATGAAGAACTCTCTCGATAAGTACAGCACAATAAAGATCAAATTGCCTACAACAAAATGAAAACATAATTTAAGATTTCCTCACTACCCGACACTTGCCTAATGGAAGTAAATTACCTAGACAGATCTCTTTCCATTTGTCTAATATCAAGATACAGAACATAGGAGCCAATGCTTCCAGGAATACAGCAACTGCCAAATCAGACAGAAGCAGCACTTTCTCGGAAACTGGAGGAAAAGGTAGGAAAGGCTCCAACAGCATAAGCTGTCTATCCAGAGATGAGCTTCTTCCCAAGCTTGTTTGCTAACAGATTCTTTACGCTGCCCAAGGCAAGGGCTCTGGACACAGGGCCCTTAGTGTCCTTTTTTTCCTACATAATAAACTCAGGACATTTTGATCATCCCTGTAAACATTAAATTATTTCTGTAACGAAAAGTCTTCTCTCGAGAAATACTTTGCAACAGAGAGTTCTACACACCGGATCTGTATAATACATATACACCTCTACCCAAATTAAACTAAGACGTTTGATAAACAGTCTTATCCTGGCCTGCATGACATCAAATAGAAGTATATTTTATAACCTTCTCTTTTAGATACAAAAGTTTCTGTATCAAGTGCATTTGCAAGTGACTCCAGAATTTGATGGAGGGGCAGCAGTAGTGAGAGTCACATGTTTGTCTTAAAAACAGAATGGAAAAGAAGATTGCAGATATTTACATTTATTTTATTTTGCTCTGAATTTAGGCCAAAACCTAAGTTACAAAAATGGTTGACAGCTGACTGAATATGAGCTAGTAGTTTGCCCAGGTGACTAAGGAGGCTAATAGCATCCTGGCTTGCATCAGAAACAGTGTGGCCAGCGGAAGTAGGGAAGTGATTGTACCTCTGTACTCAGCACTGGTGAGGCTGCAGCTTGAATACCGTGTTCAGTTTTGGACACCTCACCATAAGAAAGACACCAAGGTGCTGGAGTGTGTTCAAAGAAGGGTAATGAAGCCAGTGAAGCACAAGTCTTATGATGAACAGCTGAGGGAACTGCGATTGTTCAGCCGGGAGAAAAGGAGACTCAGGGGAGACCTTGTTGCTCTCTACAACTCCTTAAAATGAGGTTCTAGAGAGGTGGGTTTCATTCTCTCCTTCCAAGCGACAACAGATAGGACATGATGAATCAGCCTCAGGTTGCACCAAGGAAGATATAGGTAGGATTTTAAGAAAAATTTTCACTGAAAGGGTTGTCAAGCATTGGAACAGGCTGCCTATGGAAGTGGTTGAATCACCAGCCCTGGAGGTTTTTAAAAGGCGTGTACATGTGGTGCTTTGGGACATGGTTTAGTGGAGGACTTGGCAGTGTTAGGTCCGCAGTTGGAATTGATGATCTTAAAGGGTTTTTTTTTTACAATCTAAGTGATTCCATGATTCTATTCTATGATTCTGTAACAAGAACAAGAAGTTCTACAGGAAGAAGCTGGGAGGACCAGGAAGGAGTAGGGAGGGCTATATGTGGACAAGAAATACAGATTTATGATACATAATTTCAGTGCCAGATTGGTCATTTTGCCATTCAACACAATCAGTGCTCAATGACAGCTTAAGTGTCTTATGCAGGGGCTCCCACACCTAAAAAAGACTACGGGACATGGCTTATCTCTGGATGTCCATGCTCCCTTGTGCCTCTAGTAGTTACAGCAGAACAGAAAAAGAGTAGGATTTGCTATGGCCAGGGAAGAAGGTTTGAGGCTTTTTGCACAAAAGTGTGTTTGGAGCCCTTCTGTTTGGATCTCAAGTGTAAGCCAAGCAAAACTAAAGGCCAGATCCTAATCTGCATACAAGTCACAAGCCATTCAAGTACAACTTGTGGACAAGGGTAACCCAAAAATGTCCATGGACAAAACTGGAGATAACTTGCCAGATCCCTCTGGAGTCCAATGGCATGGTCCCTCCTGACATGGAATGGAACAGTGGGCAACTCTGGCTGTCACTATCATCTATTGCCTGGAATCTGCTCTTGGGGCTCCTTTGGATTTCTTCCCTTCAGCTGCCTGAAGGGAAGAGCTACCTCACATAGCGTGCTTCTTTAGACTTCTAGCCAAGCAGGACAATGTTTTCATGGAGCTTGTCAGACAAGGGACATTAAACCACCCTGCATCTCAATAAACTACCAGTCCAGCAGTCAAAATAATGCCAACAAGATTTGTCCTTTTGTCCTACATAACTAAGCAGAATAAATTTTTACTATTCCCATAAATATTTCTTTCTTTATATTTTGAAAGCCTTCCAATTTCTCTAATACTGCTTTGGAGAGGTCTACAACACAAATGAGTGCTTGAGTAAAGCATCACTTTACATCAAACTTAAACTGAACTCTGAAAAAAAAGAGTCCCTCTGCATCAATAAATAAAAGTTTTAATTTTGTAAGGTGAGATTGGGAAGAATGGACTGCTTTGCCAAACCTTCCACCCCATATTACTTTTTCTAGGTTAATATAGACTGTCTTAGCACAGCCAGCCACATCATTGCTGTTTGAGTTTGCAAAGTTTGCAAAAGTTTAAGGAAGAATTCAAATAATCTACATTGGTGAGATAATTAGTTTACCAAACACACTACTATTATTCTGAAATAATTATAACTTGTAAAAGTTTCAAAACCCGTATGAATAGAATTCAGAGAACAAATTAAAAATCATTAAAGTAATACATCCTTTGCTTCCTACAGCAATGCACATATTTCTTCTGGAGAAATCATGAGGTGAACAACATCAAACCGTCCTACTGCGATTGGATTTGAGATTTCAACATATTGTAACTTTAAAGAAAAATAATTCTAAAATAGGCAGGGCAACAGTTGCCAGGCTACTGGTGAGCACACAGAGATTACTGGTCCCACAAGGCTATTTTTGGTGTTTTCACCTACAAAGTGGTATCCTGGAGACATAACACAGCTTCTGTTCCATGATTTCTTTTTCGTGAATAGAGCAGCTCCAGCAGTTAGAACATTTTGGGGGCGTCACTGAAGCAAAGCATCTCAAAAGAAAAACTTTCCTTTTAACCTTAACCTAGCCACTGGAACAACAGCCACCATTTCCTTTTCTTTCTGTTTCAGCTAGGCTTGGATTAGTAAGAAGGTGAACAGCCATTAACTCTGACTTTCCTAAACCAGCTACATTTAGCACAAATTATGTGAAGATGCTTTAGAAAGCCAGGACAAAGATGAGGGACCAAGCTGTTACACCAAAGATTCTTTCCAACTGTGAATGCAAAATACTAAAGGTCTTGTGTGTTCATAGGACACAGTGCATAGAACAAGAAGACATGACCTCCTCCATCCTTCCACAGCAGTACAGCAAATACAAAGTTCCATACTAACCCAAGGTGGCTAGATAAAATTACTTTTGGAGACAAGCGCTCCAGTACAGCTTTTCTTCCTGTGTTTGCTGGGCTGTAAACAAACACACAAAACTCTTGCTACAGCAGCACCACTATCCATATCAAAGTTTACAGCTTGAGAAATGGTAAGACTTCCTAAGTCACCAGCTAAGAGGACCAGCCCACAGAGGAAACCACTGACATTAATGCTGCCTGAATGATAGTTGCAGAAAGCACACCACAGGTTCTGGATCCCATTCCGAGCTGCTCATCAATGCCTACCCACACATCAACACTGTTAGCAGGAACTAAAACAAGGACTTGCAGGTCTAAACACATGGACTTATATTCAGTCATATTTCTTCCAGTTCTAAATAAAACCAGGTATTATGGAATAAAATTTTAAATCCATCTAGTCCAGCAGTAGATGTTTACCCCACCATGTATTTAGCACTCCACCACTTACAATTCAACAGTATCCTTGAGTAGTAACCTCCAGTTAAATATCCAAACACTATCATTCTAAGAGTTTACATTTTGGACCCCAAAATATCCTTATGGCAAAAGTTCTGTAAATTAACTATAACTTGTGTGGAAAAAAAATCAGGCTCTTTGATGCTTAGTAATTTCATTTTTGACCTCTAGTTTCATGTTACTCAGGTTATGAAAACATACAATAATATTTTTTTAACCTTCTCTATGCTATTCCCGCTTTTAATGACCTTACTATTCCCGATAGTTTTCTCTTTTCCAGGCAGAAGAATCACCGATCTTCTCTTGTGATCATCCTTGTTTCCCTTCTCAGCATGTCTACACATACTGAAAACTTATGCTTTCACAGGCACGTGCCTATGTGTACACGCTTCTGTACACATACTGAGGATATATATGTACATGTGTGTGTGTGGATAAGTTCAAAAAAAGTTAAGAACACACTTTGTCAAGGACGGAGCAGAACACGGCCTTTATGATGCCAAGAAAGCATGAGCTTACACAAAATACAGCCCCTTTTTTTTTCTCTTCACAATTTTCTTTTGGACAATTCTGTGCCTCCACCTAGT